ATAAAATAACTGCTGTGCGGCTTCTGGTGCGACCTGAGAGTGCGCCTTGGGACAGAAGGGGAAGCGAATTCCGTAAACCAACGGTGAACCCTCATCCGCCAATACAAGTGCTTTAGTTTTTCGACTAGGGACTGTTAAACATGACTCAAACAACTTGCAGCTCACGCGATTGTCAGCTCTCACGAGAATTTAGACCTCACCGGACTCGAATATGTGGCCGGGTCCCGTTGAAGGGACCGTAACTTGATGTCAGCTCTCCTCCCTGTTGCTGCATGTTCAGCCATTCGCGTGCCGAGTAGTCCTCCTCTGGCGCAGTTGCTTTGCTCGCAATTTCAATAGACTCGGTAAACGACTCGTGACCATGACAGTCGGTCTTTTGGTCTCATTAGCGGACGCCTAATGGTCGTCCTCGTCATCTGAAGCTGTCGCTGATTATTGGGTTCGAGCCTGAATTCGAAACGTCAATCAAAGGAAGTTAATTTTGCAGCAATCATGTCTACTTCTCCTAAAATCTCGGACAATTTAGAGGCTTTTCAAGCAGTCAGGCGTCCAGCATCGGGTTGTTTGGGCATTTATCTACCCGTTCACGCATACCCATCCTAGCATCCTAATCAGACTGGAACTGCTCACCGGAATGGAAAAAGATGTAAAGTGGGAGTTTCCCGCCTTAAAGCATGTTCCTTTACAGTATACGCCCTTCTGCCTAACCGTATGTAGATGGGGAAAGAGAGATAGAGGGAACGGACGAGAGTTAAGCCAGCTGGAAACGGTGATGAATGCTCTGTACTGCCTATTCTGCTAACTAAAATATTAATGACTTTGCACATGTTTTGACTGCTCAGTTGACCCCTCGTTGACCAATACGACTAGTTTGACTTTCATCTTTTTTGAGTCTGCCAATTTCGCGTTACTGGCCTGCCGGTAGAGTGTCCTTTAGAAACGCTTGTTCTTTCTGTCTGCTTGTTACAGGTTAGGCCTGTTTGACAGCCCCCGAAATTACGCTGCCAGTTGCCTATTACTTTTTTGCAAAGTTAGACCAACGGCCGTAAAGAGTTGTTTTTAGACACGTGCCATCCGGAAAGTAGTCGCGGGTTCGATTATTTCATTTTTTAGCCGTCAAGCAGACTGGAAGTCCAGCGTGGGTAAAGATCTAATAAATAAGTACAATAAGCAAACCCGAATCAATTTGCCATATACAGGTCAACCCCGGTTAAGAAGTTGAATCCGATCCACCTCCGAGCTCTTCATGTATCAACCCTCATCTTGCGAAACGTAGCCAGTCAGTGAACTGTATCAGTTCACTGACTGGCTGCAGGTGACCGAGGACCCAGACCCCGGGGACACAGGCACACATGCACTGACAACTCGTTAACTGAGCGGAAGCCCATCAAGCGAAACACATTTTCTTCGAGGGGCTCGTTCGTTACCGGAAGTGCTCGTAGATGGACATGTTCGTTACCCGAGGCTCCACTGTACTAAGGGAATAGAGGCAAGAACGTATTTTACGGTTGGTGGTAGACAAAGGAATGTTGGAAAGAAAGATTCAAGACAGAAACGTATCCTCTTAGATTGTTTAACCAAATCAAAAGCTCCTAATGAATTATGTGCATAAATCACAGGGTGATGTGTAAGTAGACTGGAAACGGGATAGAAAAACACGGAAGTCGAGGGTAATCACTGGCAGCTGATGTGCATCGGGCTGCCGAAAGAAGTAACCAATTGTCAAAACCCAAAACTTAACTGAAAGAGTATTAGGGCGTTTAGCAGATTTGCTTACTTCGAGTTGACCCAATTGTGAAAAAAGCTCAAGGCGTTCGGCGGGATTCGAACCCGCGTGTCAGAGAAGGCCTTTACCGGAAGCTAACATTCTAACCGCTAAGCTACAAACGCCCCGCTGAACGCCTCGAGTTTTGGGGCGTTTGTAGCTTAGTCGTTAGAGCATTGGCTTCCGGCAAAGGCCTTCTCGGAAACGCGGGTTCAAATTCCGCCGAACGCCTCTAGTTGTTTCACAATTGGGTCAACTCAAATTAACTGAAAGAACTAAAAAAGCCATAAACCGTTATTCGATAATGTTTATGGCAAAGCCTAGGCCTTAGTACCTCACAACATTATCAAACCCTAGCCTCAATGCCTAAAATAATTTTAAATCCTTGTATTCACTCAAAATGTACACGGTCAACTGATACAAATGTACGAATAAATTTCGATGTACATAAATCTTCCAATCTCAAAATACTAGAGATCATGTAGTGATTGCTTAATACCAAAACAAGAACTAGACCGTAGTCTACTTTAAAGCTAGTGACTATCGGGCGGAAAATAACTCCTCATTTTGGCTTATTTTTCAGCCACCATTCGACGGCGATGATGAAGAAGACCTCTTCCGAAATATCGCCTTGGGTGAGGTATCCTATCCCCGCTGCCTCTCTCGAGAAACCACCCTGATAT